TACTCTTTAGAATTGGTTGCGAAAGTGGACACAGCTATCTGGTTAGCATATACAACAGAGTGGGGCGGAGGAATTGACTGAGACTGATTCGAGCAAAATGTTGCATGCCAGATATTAGGTCACAATACATGTGCGAAGCAAATTTTGGTAGCACCGACAACATTTGAGTGGAAATGCTCAAACGGAAATCCTAAATGTTAACTGAAATAAAAATAGTGATTCTGATTTGACTCTGAAGCATCAAAACAGATTCATCAATGATAAGAGGTGCAGGAAGTAACAGTGAAAATAGAAAAGCCAGAGACAACCTGACTGCAGTTTGGAGGCATTCATCAGGCAAGATACCACAGTGAGTAGGATCAGGTGGGAGAAGCGGGATAGTTCGAGTGAAGAAACCAGGGTGTACGAAGGACATTTCAGTCCACGAGATACGGACACCATTTGAGCGGAAATGCTCAAACGGGTTCCTCAACCCTAACTGAAATAAAAATGGTGACTCTTATTTGGCTCTGAAGCATCAAAACAGATTCATCCAGGACAAGAGGTGCAAGGAGCAGGAGTGAAAATAGAGAAGCCAGAGAAACCCTCGCCGATGTCTGGAGGCATTCAGCTGTCAGGATACCAGACAGAGCAGGATCAGGTGCGAGAGGCAGGATAGTTTAGGTGAAGAAACGAAGGTAAACGAAGGACATTTCAGTCCACGAGATACCGACACCATTTGAGCGGAAACGCTCAGGGACTATGTGTCCTGCGAAGCATGTAGAAAGCCCAGCGTCTTCTACGAGACGTGAGCGCTATTTCTATTCTGGGGAACCACCAAGGAGGTCTGCTTCTGGATCTATGCGGAACAAAGGAAGCGAACCCTTGAGTTAATTCTAGTAACCCGTCTCGCATTGTCACCCATCGCTCTTCGACTGATGGCTCAAGTGAATCAGGAAACCAACTTATGTTCCCAGCAGCTGCCTTTAGTTGCTCCTCGTTTATCCGGGCGTAGTTTCTTACTAGCGTAACATTTGGCCTATCGTGTCTAGCCACAAACTTTGGTCGCAGTACCCGATCGTCACTCTTTCCTGACGGTTCCTCTGTCACAAGAGAAGTGAGGTCTGTTCAGTACCTAGTTATAACTAAGTCTAGAGTTGACGGACGATGACCACCTCTGAATCGTGTGGGTGCCTTGACGTGCTGAGTTAGCCCATGTTAGTGCAAGCAGTTCAAGAGTTCATGACCAGCGGTGCCCCTCTGTGCGCCTTCGTTGTTCCAGTCTATTTATGGAAGATTGAAGTCGCCCATTATGTGGAATCGCGAAGATTTACTCAGTATGTTACCTAAGAGTGCCACTGCTGCAGAATCATCTGCCATATTCGATTGCGGCGCCCTGGAAACACACAGTACTCCCAGTGATCTACACCCTAGGCGGACACGGCTGGATGTAACCTGTATGTTCGTTGTGGCTAGGGTAAACGGGGCCTCCCGCTGGCGGTATTCCGAGCTTAAGTGTAGTAGTTGTGCCTCCCGAACTGATAAACGAGTAACGTATAGCCGTATTCAGATCCCAAATCGACAATAAAACGAACGATCCAGCAATTTTCTACGGTAGTGCATTAATAAACCGTCAAGTAAGCTAATGAAATATGTACAAACCTTTAAGTGATATCGAAACAACTTGATAACAAGAGTCAAGTGTTACTGTGAGCGTACTTCAATAAATCTGAACGGAAGAATACGAGTCGGGATAAAAATACCACGCTCACCGTCACGATGCACACGAACGAGTCATATGTGAGGTCAGGTTGAGAATAAAACAAATTGGGTAAGAACGAAACAGTAAAACAAACAAAGTCAGATAGTGAGATTGATGTGCAAATATCCAACGCAGATGTAACGTCAAGTGTCTATGTATATATGAGACGGATGGTGTTAGGTGAATTAAACGTGAAATTTACGAAATGTGAATCCAAGGTGGATTGCCTGGGAATAACAGGAAGGTATTTCACAGATCGATCAATACACCACCCGACAAAATCCTTTCCCGTATCACACGGTCACAGGGAAATTCAAGGGGCGACAATTCTCACCCCAACTCCCCAAGGCTAACGGTCGTTATGCCATTCTATGGAGCCTATTGTTCTATCCGTCTCCGCCAGCTCAGGAGATTAGCCACCAGCCGTTTTACATGACTCGTAGCGCCTCTCTCGCTCTCCTACGGGGAGTCTTGAAGTGACTCTCGAGGCTGACGCCCAATGATCTTGTATCCTTGATGGTTTCTTGTTGTCTGTTTGTGAAGGATGCAACTGGAAAATCAGAAAAAACTAGAGGGACAATATATCGCCTTGCCCGTGGACTAGCAATGCTAATTATTCTGGCAACATTATTAATAAACGTAACAATGTGCTGTAACAAATAGGCAAAGGCATAAATACATAAAAAGGGTTATAGTATTTTTTGGTTTTCAGAGGAGGGCTTGATAGGCGGCAATTAGACCTTGATACTTATCAAGTCGAAACTTGAAAGACGCTTTGCTTGTTAAAGAGAATATCTCTTCAGGCAATGCGTTCCAGTGTGAAATTACCCTGAATGTGAAGAAAGATATGCAAAGAGTGGCGCAGTGTTGAAGTTTGTATAAATTTTTGCTATTACTCTTTGTTCCACCCGTCGTGGATAGAGTGAACAACTTATCTACTAGGCCCGAGGAGTAGCTCAGGAGGTTACCCACAACCCGTTCTACATGACTCACAATGCCCCCCCCGCTAACCCGGAGGATTACTCAGCTGCTCGGGTTCCTGGTCGACTCCGCTTCTTCTCCCTCCAGGTAGCAGATTCAGTGCATGTCTCACAGTGTTTCCCCGGCTGCCGTTTCACTGTAACCGTGTGTATGATACCGTCCTTACCCGGGAGACATTCTTCAACGACCGCCAGGGGCCATTCATCTCACCTCAGTCGTTCATCCGTCAGCAGCATTGTCACCAACTCAAAAGTTTCTTCCCATGAGTACCCATTTCCGTCGTGCCTGTAGAGTAGGCAAGTACTCTCGGATCCACCGCTTCCAGAATAATCTCGACAAGTAGGTTGCTTGCTTCCAACCGCTCGAGTAATATTTTGTAAGTGTTCGTGGTACTCCAGTCCGTGATTTGGTCTTAAAAGTGTCAAGTCCTTTGACGTAAGTGCGAGACCCGGGGTTCACTCGAGACTGGTAACAAAAGACTATTGTTCAATATGCGCTCAACTTCGATCAGGGCCGTGCTCAGGGTCTCATCGTCGATGGGCTGTTGACTGCATGCCGCCAATAACATCCTTCTCACCGACCTTACCATACTTTCCGAAACCCCGCACCTATGGCTGGCGTATGGCGGGTTGGAATGCCAAGGGATATTTTGGTCGGTCAGTCGGTTATGTAGTTCGCCATGGTCGGCACGGGACAGCCAAATTTGCAGCTCATTAAACGCGCCCACAAAATTTGAACCGTTGTCGGAGTACATGTTGCTCGGCACTCCGCGCCTGCTGATTAGCCTTTGAAGCGCCATCAGGAACGATTCAGTAGACATACTGTGCATCATCTCTGAATGTACCGCGCGAGACTGCATGCAGGTAAACAGGCACCCTGTACCGCCTTGCCACCGATCGCCCGAACTTCACTGCCAGGCGGCCGAAATAATCTACTCCTGTCTTCGTGAACGGCCACTCATCGGTTCAAACCCTGAATTCGAGTAGGGTTGCCATCATTTGCCTTCCGGTTACCGCATTTCGACGGCGACAGAGCATATATCTACCGATCATTCCCTTTGTTGCGGTCCTACCGCGTGTTGTCCAAAATCTTTCCCGAATGGCTTTCAGTAGATGGTTAGTTTCTACGTGCCCGTATTTACTTTGGGGGTGGCGTATAAGCAAGGTGGCGACATGGCTACTGGCCGATAGAATGGTCGGATGTCTAGCGTCGAATGCCAAGGACGAATTGTCTAATCTCCCTCCCACGCGTAGCAATCCTTCGAGTCGTATAGGGTTCGGCTTACGCAATGCGCTCCGTTGGATTACGGTCGCTTTTGGATTCATCCATGCATTTGCTTTCAACGCCGTTGTTTCGATGGGGAAATGCTGTTGTTGTACTAACTTCATGATTTTGCTCTCGGCTCTCATTAGGTCGTCCGGCAAAAAGGGTCTCACATGCAGCGATTCTTCAGGCCGAAATCCGGTCGTGATCATCACCCTGAGTTTAAACCTTATCCACCAAGCGACGGAACGAATCAGTCTGCTCCATGACGAGAAGCTTTTCAGTTTCCTTAACAGGGAGGAGGTGACGTCTGGTTCCGCCGTCATTACCACTCTCTTGGCTTCGATCAGCTCAACGGGCGCGGTGGGTGCTGTAACTTCACTCTCGTCCTCTGATCCAGCAATCACAAATGCTTGGCCGCAGAGCCAATCAGGTAATTTGTCCAACGACCTCAATCCCCAGCAGCAGTGGTCGGCTGGGTTATCCGCAGATTTCACATATCGCCATTGGTGCATCTTGGTCTCTTCGTGCACCACCGTCAGCCGGTTAGAAACGAACCTAGTGCTGACGTTCTTCACGCATTGTATCACGATGGCAGAATCAGTCCAGAACGTGACGCGTTGATTGAAGATACTGAAACACTATCGAAGCTGCTTTGATATACGTACAACTAGCACGGCCGCGGTCAGCTCTAATCGGGGTATCGATACGTATTTCAAAACGTTGACCCGGGTCTTGGCGTAAAAAAGTTCTGTCGTGCGCTCCTTGTTTCCATGCAGCCAGTGTACGTAGACTACTGCTCCGTATCCCGTCTTGGACGCGTCGGAGAACATTTGCAGTTCGGCTTTCGTCGTTTGGCTGCATCGGCTGGGCCGACGCGGGATCCGTATCTGACCCAGTCTCGCTAGGCTGGTTTCCATTGCTTCCAGTCTGCCCGGTCCTGCTCTTCTAATGGCTGGTCCCACTCCGCCCTTTTACGACAAAGCTGGTAACAGCCACGGCACCACGAATCCAAGCGGATCACACAAACTGGAGAACGACGAAAGCAGCACTCGCCGGGTGGGGTTCCTTTCAGATAGCCGAAGTTGAAAAATTAATTCGTCCGACTCTGCTCTCCATCATACCCCCAAGGTCGGCTCGATAGGGAGGGGCTGTGTAGTCAGGTTGATAGCCTCACTCGCTCTGTCGGTGAGGGAAACGTTGTCTCAAACTAAGCGGGAGTTAGACAACCATTTGGTTTGACGGAACCCCCTTTTTCAGTAGATTTTTCAATTGCGTTGCGTGTTATAAGGCTACTCTTACATCATCCAGTGCGCCCAGGAAATCATTGATGTAGAGATTGTTCACAACTCTGGCTGGCACCAAAGCACTGAAATTGTCTTCATGCTGAGAGGCCGTCCGTCGGAGTGCGCAGTTCGCCCAGAAAGGCTGGGAAATCGTTCCGAATGGATGAAATGTCAGGGGAAGTCTACTGTTGGGCTCCGTACGTCACCCTCAGGCCACCATAGTAGTCGCAGGGCGTTTCATTGATCCTCCAGTATCTTAAATTCGAGGAAAATTTCCTGTGTGTCGGCTACCACTGCAACTAACCCCAGCCGGAATCGGTTAAGTACGTCAACCAAAGGAGTGGTCCAATCTGGTCCCTGCAACCGACAGTCATTAAGAAAAAGACCGCCGTATCATACCGCGCAATCAAACACCACGCGTATCTTCCCCGGCCTTCTAAGGTTAGTTACCGGGTGGTGTGGCAAAGACCACAGTCTTCGCCCGCGTGGTTGGGAAACGTCCAATCGTTCTATGTATCCCAGTTGAACGTTCCGTTGCATCGCTGCGGCGTATTGTCGACAGGGCTCTGTGTCCCGGACCAGTCGCCTTTTAAGGTACTCCAACGTTTTAGAGCGATCCCGTTGTTGTTCGGCAATCGATTGTATCCCGCCCTCCATGGTAAAGGCACCTCGAACTGGTCGTGTTGGTATCGTGTCCTCGTTTTGATTATTGCTATTGTCTGGTTGTCTTCTACGGAAGGACCGACCTTCTGGTTGTTCAAGTCATCGAACTGATTATTGTACATCCTTTGGAGAGTTTGTTCGATCGTACCGTCGCCAGCGGTGCTGGTGGTGGTGAAGTCAACTGACAACCTTTTGCGGTTTGTCGCATGAGGCGGTTCAAACCACTTCCACCCGAAAATGATGTGAGTAGCATACGGTTCTTTCCTGCCGCTAAGTCTCTGATCCAGGACCCAGTGTGCTTTTGGCACATCACATTTTATAAGCAAATTGACTTCGGGAGAGTCGGCTTCTTCGAAATATAAGTCTCGCAGGTGTGGCCAGCGCGTTGCTAATTCCCCGATCGATTGCACTGCTCGCATCGGCAAGTCGGCGATGGTGAAAGCTTCCGTCACCTCTACTCGTTCACCATTATCTAGCGAAAGCAACGCCAAATTCTCTTGATCGGCGTAAGTCGCCTTAGTACCGTTCACCGTTCTGATCGTCAGGGAAGATGGTCGGGTTGTGGTGTTATTTTTTACGGCGAAGCGCTTGGTGATCAACGTGGTATCGGATCCATTGTCAATGAACGCTATCGCCTTCACTATCCCACTGGGTGTTATTACGCCAACTGGTGTTACCTCAAGGCGCACCTGCCTCTTNGTAGGCATACGCTGGGCTTTTCGAGTGCCGGTAACTGAGTTTCTCTTATAGAATGCAAGGGAGTACGGTGGCTGCCTTGACATTTCTTTTCACTGCATCAGCCACGATTCCTACAAGCGGCAACACGATGTGAGCCGTTCAAACAGATAAATCAGGTGCCATGCCTCTTGGCTGCTTCTCAAAGGTCCTGAACTTCCAGTTGCACAAATTTCTCACACGCGGATAACTTGATTTGAACGCCACATGGGGCATCTGGGTGTGCCACGTTCCCTGACGGTTGCATAATTGTTTGCGCTTCTAGAGCTTCTCGGGATATCGTACATTCGTTCCTTCGCGTGGCGCCTCTCTTCTCGTCCACTCATGCGGGCGAGTTGTCCGAAGTGACCATTGACGAACTTGGCACGGTTTCGCATGTATACCGTTAGTTCGGTGAAATTCGGTTCCCTCTCTAAACGGCCAATACTCACCACCTCCGCCGCAAATCCCCGTTATATGTCAGCCGCCAGGCATCACACTAACGCTTCTGGGGTGTGTAGGGCATTCAAATATGCTTCGCAATTCATTGGGGTCAGGGCAATGAAAGGGTTTTGCATTTTCTTTACCAGTCATACCAACGACGCGGGTTTCTTTCTTGCTGTACGGGCCTCGGCTAGGACCCCTTCTATGGGCGCTTGTGCCACGTAAAACGGTTGGCCACACAGTCCCTTCACGATATCCCTTGCTCGGCTATACCCAAGTTCGTCTGGTAGCATTACA